GCAGGCCACTCGGCGTGGCTTCTCGCCCCATCGGGGTCTGGGGACGGACGGGGACAAGGGCCTCCCTCACCTGTGAGCCCTGTCTCTGTCGGACCAGGTGCCACTGGGGTCGAAGACCGCCTGCAGGACGGCGTTCCCGAAACCATCGCCAAACTGCGCCAGGCGGGCCTGCAGATCTGGGTCCTCACCGGCGACAAGCAGGAGACGGCCGTGAACATCGCCTACGCCTGCAAGCTGCTGGACCAGGACGAGGAGGTCATCACCCTCAACGCCGACTCCCATGGGTGTCATAGGTTCGCCATCACTGGCCTGGAGCCTCCTTTTTCCAGCAGCTGACGAGACCAGCCACTGCCCTGGGCCTCTGCCTGCACCTGGGTTCCGTTTCTGGCGCTTAGTAGGAGCTTGTCACTGGCTTGGAACAGGTGACACTCGCCACGGTCTCTTAGTTTCAAAGGAACACATCTGCGATCTCTTTCTTTCTTTTTTTTTTAATCCTCACCCGAGAATATGTTTGTGGGTTTGTTTGTTTTTTAATATATTTGTATGGATTTCAGAGAGGAAGTGAGAAGGAGAGAAACAGCAATGATGAGCCCTAGCCAGTTTGGCTCAGTGGATAGAGCGTCAGCCCATAGACTGAAGGGTCCCGGGTTCGATTCCGGTCAAGGGCACATGTCTTGGTTGCATGTTCCCCAGAACCTGGTCTCGGGGTACGTGTAAGAGGCAACCAATCCACGGGTCTCTCTCACATCGATGTTTCTCTCTGTCCCTCCCTCCCCCCATTCCACTCTTTCCAAAAATCAATGGGAAAATATCCTCGGGTGAGAATTAACAACAACAAAAAAGAAAAAAAACATTAATGCTGAGAGAGAATCATGGATCGGCTGCCTCCTGCACACCCCCGACTGGGGATCGAGCCCACAACCCAGGCATGTGCCCCGACCAGAATGACCTCCTGGATCATAGGTCGATGCTCAATCACCGAGTCACGCCAGCCAGGCTCCGAGATATGTTTTTATTAATTTTACAGAGAGAGAGAGAGAGACATCGATTGGTTGCCACCTGCACCAGGGCCGGGGGTGGAACCTGCAACCGAGCCACGTGCCCTTGACTGGGAATCGAACCCGAGACCCTTCGGTGTCGGGGCTGGTGCTCTAACCACTGAGGAGCACCGGCCAGGGCAGAACCGCCGTCCTCCGTAGCTAACCGGGTCTTAGGAGGGAACCTGGGCCCAGCCTGGTGCCCGGGAGGGAGACCATGGGCCCCAGGCGTGTTTGGGGGGGACGGGGGGTCACCTGGTCTGTGGTGGGGCCCCGTCAGCGGACACAGCCGTCCCGT